GTAGCAAGCAACACCTGGCCACGTCTATTTATAGCATAAAAGCCCCCTGATGTTGAGGCCTCTGCTGTCAAAAATATCGGATCGGGGCTGATTCGATTTCTATAAACTGCAGTGGCAGTCTCTAGATCATAGACAAATAAAAGACCGAGTTTTGTGATAACATATATCAAACCATACTTATTTGAAATCTGCACAGTGAAACAAGTCAGGTATTCAATATAATGTTCATTGGGAAACAGAAAATCATAAAGTCTACACTTATACCTGCATTGATACGGGAAAGTCATCAGCAAAGTCTGGAGGAAAGAAGAGATCGGCTTGTTTCTTTGAAAAAGATGGCTTGCCTGATAACCAATATCACAGCATACCAGAAGGTAGCAAAAAAGGCATTAGAATGTAGCAAGAACATATACTACAAATAGCAGACACTCTATTAAAGCTCCATAATTACATCACGTGTTGTTTATCTCCTATTAACTTATTAATCACTTTATATCCTATAATGTCCTCTTTCATTAACAAGTTAAATTGATATTGAAAAATTATTTTTCTTTAAGATTTAAAAAAAAAAGCTGTTTATACTAATGAGTGGGGATGTATCTATTGGCTGATAAAGGAAAAATCTAGACATGCATATACCTGGCTGGGCGCCAAGTTCAATGACATGCATCTTTGATGTAACCTGTCCAGCATTGATGCTCTTGGATGCAAAACAAATAAGAGTTGAATCCTTATCATTGCCAGCAACCTACATGTTTCAAAATAAAAATATCAGACAGTATTCAACCTACAAGACACACACCTGAAATACATACTAATCAATCACAAAGAAGACAAAATTACTCTAAATGTGGCAAATGAGGCTGCATGTGCTTCAAGAGCCTGGCTCCGCTGTTGATCCACAGAGAAAAGTTGCATATTTCCTTTCACAAGTTGTGGTCTCTGTAACCAACAAATCAAAATACTATCACTCCAACAAATAATAATTTCAGAAGATTTTATCACTAGCAATAAAAAATATGAAGAGATGATAATTCAGTAAGTTTAACATCCCCCCTCTCAAATAAAAAACAGAAAAAAATGTTTATTACACAATATAAGTTCAAAACAAATTAATTTGTGTAAAACATGTTGTCATTAATAAGGCATGGAAAAAAGTTGAAGGAGGATAACATTTGACAAAAAATATTGAAAAACATGAGTAACCTAAACCTAACTTGTAAACACATAGCAAGGAAAACCTTCTAAAGTGTATGTAATTGTACATACTAAATAGAAGTGAAAATAATACAAAAAAATGAAAAATATAAATATGAGCCATCAATTGAATAATTAAAATCACGGACTTGTTTATTTCATCAAGAAAACTTTGTCATTTATTTACCTTAATATAACATCTAGTACCGACCAGAAAAATAACAATGGAGGTAAAACTAAATGACTAAACCATTGACTATTTACAATCAGAAGTATTAATATCCTGTGTCTTGGACAGCTTCAGTGTGTAATTATAAATCATTTATATATATATATATATAGGCCAGATTTATAGTCCTTATTTCTCAGAATAATACAAGAGAAGTAAATTTGCATCAAAAATTGATGGTTAAGACTAAAAAAGTTATTTATGAAATGTTTGGGATAGTTGTGAAATAGAATTATTTCAATGATCAGTTATATGTATAATATATTACTGTTATAATCACAATCAGTTTTTGTTTGGGTAGATTTTCTGAAAAATAGTTTTAAAATAATTAAAATCATTTAGAAGCAACAAAAATCCACTTGTGCATAAAAATATGAACGAAGCTTACAAGGAAAAGAGCTTATGTTTTCAGAAAAAATATATATTAAACAAATTTCAACCATTATCCCTAATATCCAACTGAAATTGCAGACATATTTTTTTTCCAAATCAGCTGAATTTCCAACTAGTTATCTTTCCTAAAAATAAACAATAATCATGTAACTACTTAAAATGGAAACATGACTACTTAAAAAAGTCACACCACTTCACGATTTAAGAAAAAGTCGTGACTTGTTAAGAAAAACTCACATCATATAATTGTTTTATTCCCAACATTCATCTCACCCACACACAAAATGTTGTGTATTCATCTCACCCACACACAAAATGTTGTGTGTGGGTCCATGTATCTTGTTAAATTTTATCATGAACAGTCAAGATACCTAAAAGTCATGTAATTTACATAAATAGTTACACAAACAGTTTATGCAACAATATTGTAAAAAACTTTTAATTTGGATACTCGTTAAAACGACTACCTTAAAATGTAAAATATATATATATATATATATATATATATATATATATGTGAGAATTTTCCTAACATATTTAAACAAAATCCTCAAGTCTACCAAAAATAACTCATAATAAGGATTGGAACAAGGCCAGAATTTACAGTATGTTACAGCACTATAGCCATTGAACTTGAAGTATACAAATACAATTCTTAATAAAATGCAACAGCCAAAACGTGTTTATGCAGCTGTTGATCAAAAGGTATCTTTTGTCTACATTTACAAATATATATGTGTGTGTGTGTGTGTGTGTGAGAGAGAGAGAGAGAGAGAGAGAATTTTGCTAACATATTTGAACAAAACTCTCAATCTAAAATAATTCATACCAAGCATGAGCACAAGGCCACAATCTACAGTATGCTACAGTACTAGAGCCATTGAAGTATCCACATATACGATTCTTAATAAGCAATGACAAACCTTCACTTAAAATGTAGCACTTCTACCAAAATAGAAAAAGAGAAGTAAACTAAGCAACCTAAACCTTAACCTAAGAGGAAAATTAAGTGGCGAAAAAAACAGAGTTCCATACAAAAGACAAGTTTTTAAACGCCAACTTTCTTTGATGGGGGTGAAAGATGAGTAAATGAATTTTTAAATATAATATATTTCTAAAAAAATTTAAATATATAGATTGGATTATTTATTAAATGGGGCATGAATAGATTTGATTTTGCAATTTCCATTCATTTTCAAACAATCCAAAATGCATTAACGGGTTTTTAACTCATCCATTATAATCAAAATCAAAATATCAAATTTTACGAAACTGTAGAATAGCACCTCACTGACTATGTTAGAAACTATTGTAATGTCTTCCTCACATACTCTAAACCATCCTATGAAATTAAATTGACAAATTTTGCAACTTAATAGTGACAGTAAGCTGACAGACAAATACAAGAAAAAGACAAGGGGAATTGCTAAGGGCAAGGTCACGTTGCAACAGGAAGAAAACGCATACCTCAGAAGAACCAGGGGCAATTCCAATCAAAACCAACCACTTTTCAGTAGGATCACAACGGTAATTGATGATCTGATTATTCGCCAAATTAGCTGTCCGGTCAAACACCTTCACTGGCTCACCCTCACCTAGATAAGAGAAACCATAAAAACATTAGACTCTCACTCAAAAAAAGGTCAATCAATAGAACAAGAAGAGAGCGTAAGATAACCAGCAGTCAAACTTATACACAAGCAGTAAAATAGTACATTACATTACCTTCAATTGACCAGTGATACACAGATGACTGAGTCACTACGCCTAATGTCTTCGGAGTTATCCACTTCCAAAACACAACCTAAAGGAAATGGAGGAAAATAAAGAACATCACGAATAATTAACCAATAAACTGATAACAACAGACAGATTGTGGGAGAATAAAAATCGTTAACAAATATTACAAATCCTCACCTGTTGGCTCATTTGATACGATTTCATCTTCGCTTTCGTTTCAATGTTAAACACTTGCAAATGATCCTGACTAGTGCCAGGAACTTGAGCTGCACAGAGAACAAGCGTCACATTCGTTGATCGAATTGGAATCATCGCAGAGTCAAGTAAAGCAATGGGAACAGCGAATGATTACCTTTAAGCGCGAGAATTCTGGCGTTAGGGTTCATGAGAGCGGAATCAGCGGTGATAGGGCGTCGGAGTGGTTGCATGGGCATGGCCATATCGATCATGACGACGCTGTTCTGCGGCGCGGTTTCCCTGATGCAAATGTACTTGTCCGATTCCATGGTGACGTGCGTGAAGGTGATAAACTGCGGGTTGATGCCCACGCTTCCCAACTGCAAAAAAGACGAACGTATCGGAGAGTCAGAAAACGAAGAGAAAATGGAGAATGCGACGAGGCATTGCTGGGAAAACGACGGGATAGTGGGGGAATGCGGACCGTTAAGACTTCGCGCATGGCGATGGGGGCGTTCGCGGCCATGGCGGGCGTGGATCCAAGGGAATTCGAAAGTGAGAGATGGTGTGTTAGTGGTGCGCTGCGAGATCTGAAGCAGTGAAGAGAGAGAGAGAGAGGGAGGAGAGGGGGATAGAGAAGAATAAGGAGAGTGTGTGGAAGGAACAGAAGGGAAACACACCACAACGAACGAGGTGGAAGTGGAAATGGGAAAATGGAAGGATCCTTTCTAAAATTGTTTTTGCTGTTTTTGATTCCTGGAAGATGGAGGGAGAGGTGGGCCTTGGGCCTGGTAGGCCTGGTAGGCCCAGGCCATCCCATTTGACATTAGTAAATTAATTAAATGGCAATGATGATTTGAAATTTTGTTAACAGTGTTGTCATTGATATTTTCGTGGTGTGTTTGAGCATGTTGTGGATAACGTGTGGACAAGCAAGAGTGTCTCTGATCCCAATTCGTGGCTAGAAAGCTTTGATCTAAGGTCCTGTTAAAAATGCGGAATTTAATTTTCTCTATCTACATTGTTTTGAGTAATGTAGTTTTAGAGCATCACGTTTGCAAGTGTGGAGTGTCATGTCATACTCACGCAACATCACAACTTCATCGTCCCTTTGCCTGAATGCCCCAACATGTGGGGTACATTACGCAGCCAAATCCACCCTTGCGATCTCACTCTCAATTAAATCTCTACAATGCTTCCTTGGTTGCGTCATGCATGCGTTGTGCTCAGTTACAAATATACTCTTCTTACAAAAATTACTCATAATGCCATCAATACGAATCCACCCAAATAACCCCAAAACATAAATAATATATGTTTAAATACTTCAAATAGAAACAATGTGATTTCAATAATTTAAAGTACAACTTGTAAATGTTTATTTTCAGTATCATTCTTTTTTTCTTATCAACATTTTCCCACCCACACTCACACTCACTGCGCCGGTTGTACTGTAACAACCACCGCCTCCCACCCAAACACCACATTCCCAATTTTACCATTTCGTTTTTCAAGCTTTCACATTCCGAATTTGTCCTTTCCTGAATTCCCCGTTCTTCCCTCGAATTCTCAAAATTTTCCAAAATCGACCCTTCTCTAACATTCTCAGAACTGTCAGCCACCACCGGTTCGGCATCGAAAGCCAATTCCCTCACCATCACCCATCCTGGCGCTTCCCAATTTACCCCTACGCTCGTAGCCAATTTTCCAATTCTATCCCTTGCCGAATTTTCACTTTCAGTTATTATTTCTTCTTCTTCCTGTTCTTCTTCCTCGTCGAACTCAGCGAACTCCGAGTCAACTCGGTCGAGAACACACCGAGGCGACGATTCCACGATCACACCACACGGTAACAGAAACGGATGCTCCAGCAGTTGATCGCAGCTCCACCGCCGCCACGGCTCCCTCCTCAAACACTTCTCCAGAAAATCCCGGCCGAGCTCCGATAACCGGCGCGGAAACCCCGGCACGTCGCCGGAGAATCCAATCCGACTCAGCGCGTCCATGGCGTTCCCCTCCCACGGCGGTTTTCCGGTGAGCATCTCGATCATCGTGCAACCTAACGACCAAACGTCCGACGCCGGACCCTGACACTCCCGGCGTATCACTTCCGGCGCCATCCACAGCGGACTCCCGCGCGGCGATGCCGCCGGGAGACCTTCCCCGTCGAACTCCATCGCCGAGCCGAAGTCGGCGAGCTTGCAGTTGCGACCGTTGGCTCCGTCTCCAACAAGGACGTTCTTCCCCTTCACGTCGCAGTGCACGACGCCGTTTCCGTGCACGTGCTTCAGAGCGCTCACCAAGCACCACGTGTATTGTCTCACTAAATACTCGTCCACGTCGGGGTCCAGGTCAGCGAGAGTGCCACATGGCATGTACTCCATGTGAAGGTTCCGCTTCTCGCATGTGGTGTCTTCGCCGAGAAAGGTTACCACGTGCGGCGAGGACATGCGTCGGAGGATCCGAATTTCGTTCTCCAACGCTTCGAGCTGACCCGGGAGACCCGTTTTAATATCCACAGACTTCACCGCGAAAATTTGCGTTTGGGCGTCAAGCTTTCGAAGCGCGACGCTGACGGTACCAAACGCGCCCTTGCCTATGCACTTGCCTCTTACCCAAGTAGAAACCATTTTAAAGTGTGCGTTTTGAGTGTGCCATTGAGAGTATATATATATATATAGTGGAGTAGGTGTTCGGTGTTTGGTCCTGCACAAAAACATTTTTTTCCTTTTTTTTGTTTATTTTGTGTTCTACGTGGAATTAATGGAAGTGGATAATTAACGAAAGTGGTCGCAAGAAGTGACGTAAACGGTGATAGAGAGAGGGAAGGAAGAGTTTTTGTTTTGTGGGTGTTTTAATCGTTATCCATTTTATATTCGAGTTTGAAGAACTTTTCCCATTTTACTTCTTTCTGTGGTTTAATTACGTTGCTATTAATGGCATGTATGCAAAATCAAAAAATATTGTTAGATGCTTATCCAATAGCACTCATTTAAGCTATAGTTGGTTGGGAATTACTTAGAGACAAAACCATTGTATTTCAACTAAATTAGCCTAGGAACTAGATCGAGACACTCATTGTATTTTAACCAGATTGGATTCACTAAATTTGGAACACAATTAGGTGAATCATCACTTTTGTTAGGAGATTTATGATTAGTTTTAAAAATATATATAACTGTGTTTGAGTGATAAGAATACGATGAATTAGAAGATGTGGCTATGATGTGTGGTTTGGGTGAATATTATTTTGGGCAAAGGGAATGGAAGAGAAGACAGTAAAAGATGAGTGGGGAAGTGAGGCTAGTAGAGAAGATGCCCATCCCATTATGCTTGTTGCTCTTAGCCATACAATGTTCAAAATATTTTTATTATGAGAAATTTGATGCATGTGGATACTTTAATTTTTAGGTGAGGTCCCAAAATCTAGTCGTATCTTTTTTAAGATCTGAACCAGGATGCATCGTACAGTATCTCTTCTCTGTTTCTCCTGGACAACATTATTGGAACACTACTTTTGCTTCTCCGTATTACGGTTCACAACACAAAATTTATTCATCTAGTTTTTTTCTTACATCATCTTATCGTTCATTATTTTTTTATCTTTTTATTAGCTCTGTAGATGGCATTATAGAGCACTCACCGTTGTTGTTTTCCCTTTTAGCACCTTTTATGAATTTGTTTATTTGGTCTGTGCATGAAACTGAAGTTGAGTGGCTTAAAATTTAGAGTAATTGCGCCACTTGTCGTGGTGTGGGTGCTTGCAAGTGACATTGAAAAGGAATTGACCAAAAAGAATATAAAACAATGATCAACAGCGTTACGCAGGAGGAAAGGGAAACGAAGGAAAAACAAAGTTTGAAAAGGAATTTCATTACATTCTCTTTTACATTAAATGACTTGTGTAAGTAACCGTTTCATGATAATTTGGATTATCGTTGATTTTGGGTTTGACATGAGTGCGCAAAGGAGAAGCAAACGAGATAGAATATGTTGGGAATATGCATAATTTGTTTGGATGAGGCCGTTGGTTAGAGTGTTAAGCAAAGTACTTCATGACTTTGACTTGCATATTGTGTGACGCAATAACACAAAGGGATTTAAGTTTTGGATTAAGAATTCAAATTATAGTTTAAAAACAATCACCCAGGAAAAATATATCATGATTGCGTTGTATATATTGATTAATAAATGAAGGTTCTGAGGTGATTTACAATTTAACTACTTCTGAAATGCCATATCCAATCGTGTAGCTCAAATTTAAATACTAAAAATATGATAAGAGCACGTTGTTTGACATGGTTTCGTATGAAACTCAACATTATATTTTTAATAAGAAAAGGATTTTTAATTTTAATTTTGAAAAATAGTACCGTGACAATTAGATAAGACAAATTATAGCATAGATGAACTAAGTTAAACGCTTGCTCTGGTAATATTATTATTTGATTGAAATTATATTGAGATTGTAATTTGAATATCTTATTTATTCGTGAGTTAATAACTAGTTAGTAATTAATTTAATTATATTGTATTATGCTTTTAGTATATTAATTGATTATAACATTACTCCAACATGATTATAAATTGAATTTCTTTTAAGAAAACATAATTAAAATTTGAGAATAGTAAACACTTGATTTTAAGAAAATTATTTCGTATATAGGTCGGATTATAATGAATTTAAGGATTTATATATGAATATGAGTGCTGCAATCCTTATGAACCTAGAATTTTAATTTAACCTCTTTTTTTTTAATTTGGATGGTTTTATATCTTATGTGTGTTATCTTGATTATTTTTTTTCCTAAATTTTGTTACATGTTCATCACTTTAATATGATTTGGGATTTAGAAATTGATGGAAAAATATTTTCTGAATAGAGATTTGAAACGAATCAAAATTTTGGTTCTCACATTGGTTCTTCTTTTTACCAATAAAAACACTATGATGAAATAAGTTTTTTAAAAAGAGTTTCATGTTTTTGTGTATCATGAATATTTAAAAATATATTCTAAAATTTTAATATTTAAATTTGATAATGAAATTACTAAAAATATTTATCAAAAATAATAAATTTAGAAATTAAATTTTTGTAGTAAAATAAAAATCATACATGTAAAGTACGACTTCCTTAAAAGTAAATAAAAAAAAAACTTTTAAATCTTGTTTGAAAATGACTTCTTTGAAAATAATAAAATTTTAATTTTTTTTAAGCCACGACTTCTCTTTCAAGTCGTGTTTTTAAAATATGATTTCTTTTTAAAATCATGTTTTTGAAATACGATTTACTTATTTATGTAATTATTTTAAAATTTATCCATTTTAATAAATTTGAATTAAAATTAAATAATATTGTAAAAAAAAAAAAGGATTACGAAAGAGTATAATGAGTGAAAACTAACATTAAACTTCTCAAATATGAATTTTCAAACAACTTATCACTTGATTGTTGTTATCTTATATTATATTGTATTCTATCAATTTTAATCTCTTTCATTGAGATGAATAATAACCTATAGTGAATACAACTTATATATAATTTATTTTTTCTAAATCAACTATCTACCTATCTTCATTCAATTATAAATAACTTATTATTATTAATCAACTATATAATAATTATTTAAAGATAATATTTAACAAATCCACACTTCATAAAAACATTTTCAGAATAGAAAACTTATTTCACCTTTTGGATGTGTATTCGTTAGCAAAATAACAATACTCGAGATTATAATATATATACATATATAACCTAAATGAATATTCAATAAATAACTATGTTTTGCTATACTGAAAGTTAATAACGTTTATGAAATAATTAATTTAACAAGTTTTTGGTGAAAAAGCTAATTGAGAATTTGATTCAACACTTGTGAGAAGCAACACATGTACTCATATCTTTCCACATAACGTGCTAGTATTGTTTTACTAAAGAACGAAGGAAATGTGAGAAACGTATTCATAAGACGAGGAGTGATTGGTGGTGTGTAAAATTAAACCAAGTTGATGATGCACTCTGAGATTAGACAGAAACAATATAGTACAAGACTACATGCACTAAGATTATCACAAATGTTGATTGTGATTGGATAGTTTGTGTTGGTTGCATGTACATTCGTCTCTTTAAAAATATCATTTGCTCAAGGATCACCTTCACCACACAAATTTTTGTGTTCAGCCTTATAACACAAAAAAGTTGCATTGCACCCAAAAGAAAGTGGCACAAAAAGTGAGATAAATACCATTTCTCAACTTATTCAAACCCTGTAACTTTTTGACCACTTCCTTCTCCTATCAACCTCAAGTCAAACCATACCAAATATCATTTCTCATCATCACTTCATCATTCTCCACTCCTTAAATAAATAAAATATATATATATATATATATATATATATATATATATATATATATTTTGAATTAATTAGATTCTAAATTAAAATTTGTTCATCTTAAATTAAATACATTTTTGTCTATTTAAAAATAAATAGATATATAGTTCTTTTAACCTAAACATTAATTTTTTTAGTTGTTAAATAATGTGTTATAGTGACAATTGAATTATTTACACTATTTATCATGTTTTACCTTAAATGTCAATCTGAAACGCAATTTAACACATAAAAAATATTAATATCATTGGATTAAGAACTATATTAATTTATTTTTAAAGTTTAAAAATCAAAATATATCAAGTTTAGGACAAAATAAATTTTAATTATGTCAAAGTTTGCAGATTAAAAATATATTTAAGAAAAAAAACTTATCTTTTTTTCAAAGTTTTAAACTAATTTTTTAAAATACTAAACACTACTACGAAAAACAATTTTTAACGATAATTAAATAAGACTTTTAAAGACTCTTTTTTAACCGTTATTATATTAGACGTGTTAAAAGGTTGGAGAATCCACGACGATTCTAAATCATCGTTAAAAAAATTAAAAAACGATTATGTCTCTAGATTTTAACTGTCGTGCATTAAGTTTTACATGATTCTATCACAAAGGTTTGATGATGCAAAATGTCACTTATGGAGGTATAATGGTGCGATATGGTGAGGAAGAGTTTCGAAAAGTTGTATGGCATGGTGCGGAGGAGCTTCACAGGATGTAGAGGTTGCACAGCGCGGTGCGACGAAGCCTTGTGGGTTGTGGAGTGCATGATGTGTGACAAAGCTTTGCAATGTGCGGAGGTTTGCGTTTATGAGGTGTGGGGCATAAACTAACAGCGCGACAGTGGGACGCGTGAACAAATGGTGATAAAAGTAGAATGCGTAGCAGTAACGGCACGACTAGAACGCATAATAGCGAGGCACACAAATCCACACAGTCGAAGACACAAGCAACAACACTAGATTAAATGACAACAACAATGTGAACCTTGAAGAGGGTAGATAGTATTGCAAACAAGAGAGAAGAAGTTTAAAACGAGAGAAAAAAAATAACACATGTAGTTGTGGGAAGAACAAATATGAAAAGTTAGCGTAAGGACGGTTGAAGCAGGTAACCATTGTTATTTCTCTCATATGTGTTGTAAAAAGCTGATAGAACCACGAAAAAAATTTCCTGAGGCGTGTAGAGTCATTATCCTTAAGGACTTATTCGCGGTGTGTTGCGCAAGTCCCCCAAGA